TATTCTTTATTGATAAAAAATAATATAAATTAAGTATACACTCAAAATACCTTAAATTAATCTGAATCAAGAGATTTCTATTTCATCTTCTTTAGAATAAAAGGTTATTTCTTATAAAAAACTTCTGGAATGTAATAAGATGTAACCATTTAGTTATTCTTTATGCTAAAATTTTTGGTAATAATTACCTTCTACGTAATTCAGATTCAGTACTGATAAGCTGATTTTAGACATCATTTATTTTATGTTAACTATTTTAATAAAGAAAAATAACAAAATTAAAATTTTGTGGAATGTACAACATAAGGCAAAATATTTTCAGGTTAAAAGTTTGGTGAGAGTAAAGTTTTGGTAAATAATATGATAGATCGCAAAAAAAAAAAATTGTTAAATTTATTATTTTTTATTTATATCTTTTGTTATAATAAAATTTTGGATTAGAAATTTTTGACAAATTATTGGACGGGATCACTGATAAAGATCATTTTTCCCTGCAGAATTCACTAGTACTATAAAACAGTAAGTTTAGAATTATTCAATCATAAGTGAAAGGCAATTTAAATAAGAGACAAATCTTAATTCTTATAATAAATTTGCTCAGCTAATCCAGTATTCTTACTTCTAATATTCGAGTTCCAAAGATAAAACTATGCATTTTATATAAAGAAAAGTTTATCTTTACATTCAGACAGACCAATCAAAGAATTTACTATATTTGCCAATAAATGTCTTTATTACTAAAAGTACTTTGAAGAAATATCTTTTGACAGAGGCGAAAAATAGAACTATTGCCAAACTAACAAAAATACAGATTCCAATTCATCTATCGAAAAAGCACTGAAAAAAAAGGTAAAAATACTGGTTAGAAGAGATTCGCCAATTTTAAAAAAATTAATCAAGGAGTTTATTTACTACAAAGTTCTTTCGATGATACTATTTCTTTGCAAACATTTTGTATATAAACTCAGTTAATTTTCATGAACTAAATGATAATAAAAGTTGAAATAACAATCAAAAATCTAAATACAACTTCAAAAATTCAGCTGATAGATACTGGAGTTATTTATAACCTTAAATAAAAAACAGAAGATAACGTTTAGCGAAAACTATTCTAGAAGTGATCTATAGCTACTATTATTTAGAAATATTTATAAGATAAAGATGGTACTATTTACTGATAGCTTCAAGAATCTTTTGCAAAGATGGCTTATAAATTTTTATATCAACAGGAAGTAGATCGTAAAGTTTCACTTTTACTTCTTCTAAGCTTTGCTTGTTGCTATGAAATATAGTATTACTGTTAGCTTTCACCTCTTGTAATAGCTTTATGTTATCAAATATCATTCCAGCATCACTTAAGAAACTCTTTAAGTTTTCAATACAAACAAATTCTTTATTTTTCACATTTATGTCATTCCTGAGATAATTAAATCATTCTCTGCCAGATGTCATTTCCTTTCACCTAGCTTATTTTTAATCTTTGTTACAGAAACTTAGTTTTCTTAATATGCAATAACTACAAAGTGACTATATAGTAAATATATAGTTACTACCTTACTTAGTAGTAACCTAATAGGTACTACACAGTTATTGTATAGTAAGAAAATAAAGTTTCTTTAAAGTTATTCATAAATTTTTTTACCTAATCTTGATAACTGCTAAAATATTTTGTTTCATTTACTATATTCTCTAACACTTTTACATAGAATGTTAACACTTTTATATTCTTCTATTAACTTATTTTATTCTTTTACCAACTCGTAAGTAATGTTGTCTTAGGATGATTAGACGCTAATCATTTTTGCTGATTATCAAAACAGTTTATCATAAAATTTGAGGGATTAGCACTTTCTTCTTATGTCACTTATCCCAGACATTGTGCATAAATACACACATTTTTGTAGAATTTTATAAGTTATAGAAAAGTACGAACAAAGTGTGAATATGTTCAAGATAGCTATAAAAGCTGCAGACATTAAAAATGTTAGTATCTTCTAATTTTCCTATGTTGTATAAATATTGATTAAATCTTCCTTACTGACACTATTTACGATTTCTCTCAGTAAGTCAAAATTTTCCTCCTTTAGGACTTTAATTCATTTCTTCAATATACTACACTTTACTTAATTCTTGAATAATCATTTATTAGAATAATATGAAAGATAATATATAGCATTTGTAAACGCGTCATACAATATATTTAGAAAGATATGACCTGATAAAATGAAGGATTTTTTAAGGTAAAAAGTGAGAGAGAGGAAGAAAAAAAGAGAGTAGTTATATATACTTTTCTGAATATATTGTGATTAACAATAAATACGTATCAGTACGCAAAAAAATGATTAATATTATTAATATTACTCATTATATTGCATTAATATTATATAATTTTTAGTTGTACTATTGACTGAAAAATATTACGTATTATTTATCTTTCAGTTTCACTAAATATTAGCAACTTATAGCAGTGATGACAAGTGACTCAAATAATCTCAAATGATCTCAAATAACTAATCATATGTTATTTGAATCATTTCAACATTAAATGACAAATGACCTGATTATTTAAAAATTATATCATGTGATCTCAATAATTCTGATCAAAATAATTAATGTA